TAGTAGTAGTAGTAGTAGTAGTAGTAGTAGTAGTAGTAGTAGTAGTAGTAGTAGTAAAGTTGGAAAGGACCTTGGAGGTCATCTAGTCCAACCCCCTGCTCAGGCAGGAAACCCTACACAATTTTGGGCATTTTAAAAACTTCTAGTGTTGGAGCATTTACTGTTTCTGGAGGCAGGTTGTTCCACTGATTAATTAATCAAATAGCTCAAGTAGAGAATGGAACTGGCTAGCTCAGATGAAAGACTCATTTAACTTCAATAGAAGGTAGATGATAGCATCTATATAATGTCATAGAACTGAATTAATCTAAACAAATGTTAAATAAATAACCCCATTTCTCCACTTTCTTTTACTCCTTTCAAACTGTTGTTAATACTTTGGGGAAGATACACGCTCATAGACAGCTACTCACTAAATTGGGACTTAGAGCATTATTATCAAAACTAGATGTAGACTTCTCATTGTAGCAGCTTGAGTAGTTAGAAAGCCTATTGATGCAAGAAGCGAGAGAAAAAATATCTGAAAAATTGAACTCTCAGTGTGGGCTTTAGCTTTTGCTGATCAATAAAGGCAGCATGAAATCCTGTGGGCTTTCTCGGGCAGCCCTGGATCCCATTCAAAACATTAATTGTAAAATATCCATTAATTGGAATGCCAGAATTCACTTTTGGATTTCTAAATGCATTTTTTTTCTCTCTAGACGTTAGATGCGTGAGCCAAAAGAGCTTGAAGGAGCCTTTTGATGGAGCAGGAGTGTTTCAACAATTGGCTAATGCAGAGATTAAGTTGGTATCCATTTTTAAATTTTCAATTGCCACAAAAAAAACATTCTGAACTGTGGCATTTTGTTGTACCTCTCGTCTTTTAAAAGGCTAAGCTAGAAATAAACATGGAAATGCTTGGAATGCATAGAACTGGCAGTCCATTTTTCTACCAGCGAAAAGAGCATGCCAAAGGGAAGTGGGGCACTGCCTTCTAACAATCTGATCCGCCTCTTCCCAGCCAAATGCTGACAGTGGGAACGACTCATGCTGAATATCTCAGATACATTCAAGAAGCAGCCACCTAGGGGAAACTTCAGGCACTTATCACATTTATATCTGCAAATAAAATTAGATAGATATTGCCCCTTCTGTCTGTGTGATTAGGACAAAAACATGATCTTGATTACATCTTTGATGTTTGTCCAGGGCTTGAAATTTTAAAGTTGTGTTATAGGCACGTTAATATCAAGAGAAAAAAAAATTGCAAAAGCTTGGCCACAAGGAGACCTTCATTGGAGCTGAGGCATGCTCATCATACTTGTTGTGGCATTATCAATTTTATCTGGTGGCTCCATGTTTTAGGATTGTGAGAGAGGCAGAAAAATATTTCCCCCAAGTATGGGCAGTGCATTTGTAAAAATATCTGTCATAATCTCTCCTCAAGGCCAGCTGACTTCCTCCCGTTCCGAATCTCTTGCATGCAAGAAGCTGTGCCTTATGGATGATGGGGTCGGGGTGGGATTGGTTGGGTTCTGTTGAATTTGGCTTGAGTAGAACTTGGTACTAGATAAAGATGTTTGTGATAACTGTTTTGAGTTTGCAGGTGATTTCTGAAACATTTAGTGGGATAGAAACCAACTCCTGGATGTTACATTTAAATTGATTTGGGAAAGAACACCATAGTTAATTATGGAGGCAAGACAAAGTGGCTTCATCCCTTCATCTGTTGGATTAGGGCAGTGGTGACGAACCTATGGCACGCGTGCCAGAGGCAGCACTCAGAGCCCTCTCTGTGGGCATGCATGCCACCACTGCCAGCAGCTTGCGCAGGTCCATTAGGCCGCAGCCGCTGCGCAGAGCAGCAGCCCCACCAGGCACAAAGGTGAAGCGGCCAGCTAGCAAGCTCGAGTAGAGGTGGTAGAGCACGCCCACACCCAGCAAGCCAAAGGCCACCCCGAGCAGGGAAAGCCAGATCCCCATCGGCGCCATGGCCCCCCAGTCCCAGCTAGGATTGCGTGCCTCCCACCATCTATGCTGGATCTCCTGCCCACTGCCCCACCCACCAGAGACCCCCTGTATCTCCCTTAACCCTGCCCAGCCCCCACAGGTTTCCTCCCTATGAGCAACATTGAGGTGGCCATGCCCATCCCAGCCATGCCCACCCAGTTTGCCGTGAATACCACAGCCATGCCCATCCAGTGGGCCACGCCCCCATGCCCCCCCCCCGAGGGGACCACAACCCTGATGCAGCCCTGGCACATAAGTTGGTTTTGGGTTGCAATTTGGGCACTCGGTCTCTAAAAGGTTCGCCATCACTGGATTAGGGAATGTGTCATGAATCAGACTCAGTATTTTTTTCCTGTAAAGCCTAGTACACAAAAAGAGGGCAAGCAAATCTAGGCATACTTTGAAGCATGTCTTCCTTAAAATGAGGGTCATAAAACCTGTTGTGATAAAAAGAAACTTCCAAAGTCATCCTGAGGATGGCCTGCAGGTGTTCTTCTCATTCCTGGAGGCAAACAGCTGGAATGGATCAACAGCACAAATTTTAAAGCATAATCCCCGAACTGTATCTCTGGCAGTTTCAGTTAGATTCTTTTATTCTTAGAATAAGATCCTGTGCTGTAGAAGATTTTATCCTTCTTTAAAGATTGCAATTTCTGGGCAATTCTGCAGAATTTGTAAATGAGATATCTAGATGGGAACCATGATTTTCTGAAGGGCACACTCATGACTGTGAGAAGATAAAAGCTGTAAACAAGAATGTGCAACATTTTTTCCATCTTTAAATGTCCTGTTGAGGATCACATTTCAAAATGTAGGTGAGACAGGACTAAGTATAATTTTTATGTCATACTTTAACAATTCTCCTTTATAAACCCCTAAATATATTAAGCCACCAAAGAGATATTATACATCCTTGTCTTACTTCATGCACAATGTTGAACCATTCACTAAGGACTCATTTTATTCCCTTGCATACTTTATTTCCATCATATACAACTCATCATATTCAGCAGTCAGCCTTCAATTTGCACAAAACCATTCAAGCCTATTCACTTCATCAAACACTATCTGCCTATCCACAAATGCATGGTAAACATTATTTCTCACATTCACGTATTTCTCAATGACTTGCTGAAAAGCAAATGCCTGGTTTGCATACGTCATGCTTGACATAAAAGTCACTCTGCTTTTCCATTGCCTGCTCATCTACACTGCAATCAGAATTCTGCTAAACAACTTCTCAGTAAAATCCCCTTCAGGTTTTTTTTTTTAAAAATTCATTCTTATTAGCTTTCTTTTTCTGAAAGGAAAAAATATGAAAATTAATGACACTAATAATATTAATGATTAGGCACATGTGCAGCCTTCACACATACTTTAAATAATTTGCCCAGCCATAAAGAAATCATCCCTTAAGATTTCTCCAGTTACTCTGCAGCCCTGCAACTCAACATTCACACAGAATTTATGATTTTATATTTTTATTCTTGGACAGCATCCATTCCAATTCCATTCTTCAATATGATGCCATTTTTCCAGTATAACTCTGCAAAATACACTTTGCAGCATTCCTGTGCTCCAGTTTCATTCCAAATAATATTGCAGCCTCTAGAACAGTGGTTCTCAACCTGTGGGTCGGGACCCCATTTGGGGTCGAACGACCATTTCACGGGGGTCTCCAAACAAGGCTGTCCGCCATTTTTCCCCCCTTTTCTTTGGCCACGCACCTGGCACCCGGTGATGTATAAGTGGTTGGGGGTCACCACAACATGGGGAACTGTATTATGGGGTCGCAGCATTAGAAAGGTTGAGAACCACTGCTCTAGAACTAGTAGAAGTGATCCCCAGTGGAACCTGGCAAAATCTTTCCAAAATCTTGCCATCATTCAGTTTCGAAAAAAATCAGTGCTTGTTTTAATTAACAAGATTAAAAGCTCTGCCTTTCAGTATACCTTGAATGCCTTGAACCACAAGATGGGCAGCAAATAAATTTGATAAAATATATAGCCTAGGAAGTATCTTTATTCTATTGCTCATGATGATATCTTGTCCAGATGCCATGTGTAATATCATAAAAAAAAATGTAGTGAGAACTGGGATAAAACAGCCTTTTTCCTATGTAGAGCCTTTCAGATTTGTGGAAGTTGCAATTGCCAGAATTTTATAACAGAAATGACATGCTGAAAATATTTGGGATGTCCACCGATCTTAGCAGCTGGGATGCAGAATTCCAAATGGTTCTTAGGTGGCAACAAAACAAATATTACAGTAAAAAAAATCCTCTCTATGCTGCCAAACCTGTATTTGTGGCCATTGGTATTTGTTATATAGCCCATATAAAGTACAATATGCCTAATTCTGAATTTAAATCCTACATTTAGTTTCTGTTTCCAATCCAATCCTTCCAAACTCCAAAATGAGTTGCTGCTATTATTGAAACAAATGTCATTTTAAATCTGTATTTCATAAGATGGGGTTTGCTATCTTTAAACCAGTGTTCTATGAGATGGTGATAGATAACATCTCAGGTTAGCTAGAGGTAGTCCTGTATTTATTTACATAGAAATTTTTTTTCCCCAACAGCCCTATTACCATATTTAAATGCAAGTATGTCTCTCTTAATTGACCTTTTTCAGTAGTTTAGAAATACTTTAAAGCCTGTTAATCTCTGTGCATTTTTTTCTGGTAGCAATATACGTAGCTATGGGAGTAGATCTAGAATTAGAGCACTTTTAGTTCTTTGGCTCTCTGTTTTTCTATTTTCTCTTTTATTTTTTCACCTTTCGGCCTGCAGTTATTTACATGACAAATAACAGTTTATTCACCGTCTGTGACTGTCCCCTTTTTCTTGTCTTTACAACCCAAACTGGTAATCAAAATCTGAGATGAGTTAAAGTCTCTGAAGCATGTCTCAGGTTATGTTACCTGAATTCTTTCAGAAGAAATTAGGAAAACAAAAGATTTTTTTTTTATTTTTTAGAATCTAATCAGAAAAAAATATTGCCCACCTGTCTCTTCCAGCCTTTTTCTTCCTGGTGCCGCCTCCACCTTTTTCCTCTTTGCTAGCCTTCTTGATGACTTTCAGAAATAGCAAAGTGAAAAGGAAGGAGGGATTTGGTAACCTGAGGAAAAGGAAGAAGGCAGTAATCTGGGGGGTTGGCTGGCAGATTCATATGAAGAAGTTGGGGGGGGGGTCTCTTCCAGCTCGGCCTTTTTGAACGTCACAAATGTTGCCAGCATCCTGTGACAAAATTTGATCTAGGTCACAAAATGTTTCCATCAGCCTCTCGTCTCTGCAGCCAAATTGATCAGGCCTCTATTGTTTTTGTCCATAACAAGAAATAAAAAGGAAACAAAACACTGAAATTCTGAAAGCGCCTCTTCTCTTGTAGGCTAATGTATATTTGGTAGCAATCGGCCTCCTTTGCAGAGATGTATATCCTCTGAAATGCTTTGACTCTTAAGAAGTCCCAAAACTCAGCTCTCTGGAAACTCAAACATGAATCAAATGTACCCACACCAATAGGCTACACACGCCAACCTTTTATGTTGCAGCCATTATTATACCGGCTTTCTGTTGCCTCTTTCCTCTTACACTCTTTATTTTTCTCCCTGGCCAGGTTTTCCAGCAGCGGCCTACGGACCAGTAGCAGCAGCAGCAGTGGCAGCAGCCAGAGGATCAGGTAGGGGAGACCCCGGAGGAGGTAGGGCCAGGCAAAAGCCCTTCTGTGTGGCTAAGAGCTTTCCATCACTTACCCTGATGTGCCTCCCCTTTGGGAAGGGACCACTAAAGAAAACCACATGCTACAAACAGAGGCCAGGACATGAAAGATTTTAAGCCTGAGGAGCTGCTGGGTGGATATTTTATTTAAAAGGGGGAAAAAAGAGACATTTCTCAGTTGTTTGCACTGGGTTAACAATGTCAGATTTCCTCATCTGTTAGCTTCCCAACTTCTAGGGCAGTCAACTTCATCTGCAGCTACTGAAATGAAGTATTATTCTCAAGGACACCCCAGTCCAAGGCACAGATATTTTGAATCCTACAAACCCCTTAAATGCTGAAAAATTCAAGATCAGGGCATAAGAATCTGTGTCAGCATTGGATCTCTGGAGGTGGTCTGGTCAGAGCTCTAAAATCAGAGTTTTTTTTTCAACTACTTGGCAGTTGCATAGCTCATTCATGAATCTGGAATGGGGAGGGGGGATTTGTATTTCTATAATTATAAAAATCAAGGGTTGGTTAGGATACGGGAATCCAGCATCAGATAGTCTTCCTTTGCCTGTCTTGCCATTGAATATATGAATGCTGTGACAATGATATATACAAGGATTCTAGAGAAATAATAATTCCCAATTGTTTCTCACCAAACTATGATGAGGGATGCTAAGCCACAGCGGGCATGACATCAAAACTGACAGAACCGTTGTTTGTAGTTGGTCAGCACATCAGGATCCAAAATCATATTGTGGCTTGTATAAGCATAATTTAATATGATGTCTGACTTGGGAAAACTCCAGCTCCAGAACTGGCCTGATGCTTAGGAAAGCTGCAGGAATGGGGAAAGGACAGTGAAAAGCTGCTGTGGGAAACTGAGTCTGCTTGGATGTCTGCAGGCTGAAACCACAATTGGATTCTTGGCCCTCAATAGCCTCAATCACAGCATGGCATAATACTTAAGATGAGCTATATGGTAGTGTGGAAATTGAAGGCCAGCCTAGGACCTGAGTTAGTGACCATTTACTCCAGGGAAAAATGATGACAATTCTGTCCAAAATTTTATTTGTTCCAGACACATCTTTAACTTGGATATAATTTCCAGCATTTGTTACCTTCTGCAAACTCTGGGCCAAGTTTTGTGAAAAATGTTAACCCTTTCCTTTACTGTCCGCTCATGACAAGCTCCATGTTTTTCCACCCTCCACCATCTGTCTCTCTCACTAAAGGGTGGAGTTAAAATATTGCTTCCCATTGGCAATTTAAAAAATTGTAATTAAGCATTTGATTCCATCATGAGAGGGCTGTTAAGACTTACCAAGCTCTTTTCTTTTTCCTGCATTGGCTTGTTCACCCCTTCAAATTCTAAGGGCTGAGCAAGGACAAGGGGTGGGCTTGCTGCTTTCACTGAGTTTAACTGCTCCCCAATCTGCCTTGCTTGCTAATCTCTGTAGAATGCCTGCTGTCTTCAGCCATTTGTTTTTGCTAATTTTAACTGGGTAGTTGGGTCAGGGAGCAAGAAGCAATTGGAGACCACATTCTTATGCCCTCAGTCCCCAGCCAAATGGTATGCATTGAGACCTGGAGCAAAGAATTGGGGTGGGAGGGCAATAGTTTTATTCAGCCCTCTCCTGATGAAGCTTGTTCATAGGTGTGGGACCTCTGTACCCATTTAGCTAGATCTCTTCAAATCAAATTCCAACTCCTCCCCCAAAATGGAAAGGGCTGCCAAGCATTTAATGCCCCCAAGAAAACTTGGGAGAAGGCTGGATTTCTTTAGAGTCCAAAGTGAGATGTTTAGAGAACTCCGTTCCATGCAAACAGGCACTGCTTTCAAGGCTACAAAGGATAATTTATACCATTTTAATGTTATTTTAATAAGGGGGTGTCCAATTTGAGTGCAATGGGGTTGATTTGCTAAATACCTATGGTAATATTATTTTTTCCTTTGGTATGTTCCGTATTCTGCTTTTAAACTGATTTTATCCTTGATTCAATCAAAGATCTACAATTTTTACATCCCTGTCCTGTGCTTTTCCCCAATACAATTGCAGTTTTATTTTGCAAAGGTATCGTGAATTTTCCTTAGAAAGGTTTAGGCGATTAACTTTGACCTTCATGGAAGTCCAATTTTAATTGGAATATTACTGTAACTCACCTGCTTCTCTGCTTGAAATTTGCTTTTTAATTTTTTTTTTAAACCAATATTTTGTAATTTGGTGGTGGTGGGTTTAAATTAACCTGTGCTACAAAACTAAATCTAACCCAAATTAACACCAATCCATATGGCAAGTGTAAAGATCAGTATGGTGCCCTAAGGGAAGACTTATGTGCAAATCTGCTCCCATACTCTCTGCCACAGAGGATGAAAAGATGTCTGCATATTCAGAAGGAGCTCCCTGCAGAAGAGACTTCTAGCTATTACTATTAAAGAGCTGTAGCATTGATAGTGAAATGGATTCAGGGGCAGTGGATTAAAGTCGGCTTCATATTGCGGCTCAGACCTGATTCATTAAAGGAGAAGAGGGAAAAAAATTGGAAGCAATTGCCCTCAATTTTTGAGGATTACAGCAATATAACACGGGTGGCATCAGCCAGAGCGGGTTAAGACCACTAAAGTTAAACCCCCATCTGTATCATAAGGTGCACGAAAGTTAATGTCCAAATGGTAAGCCTTCAATTTACCCAGCTCTTAGGGATTTCTTCTTGATTAAGGTGATTGTACGATGCCTGTACTGAAAGATCTTCCCTGGTTATCAGAAGCTTGTCGAGTACTGATCACAAAGCCTGAACAGCTTAGGCCCTGATTGTGTCGGGGAACATTGTTCTTGTGCACCTGTTTGGGCTTGGCTGTTAAAATCTGTAAGAAAGGCCCTTTAGGTGCCCTATCACCAATGACTGATTTAACTGACAGGTAAGGAAGGACTTGCTGATTTTGCAGCTGAGTTTCTCCTCAGTTCCCATAACATTTAGAAGAGAACAGTAAAGACAACTCTCTTTTAGCAGGCATTTGTTAATTTGTTTTAGAATTGATTAGGTGTTTTTAACAAGAGCTACAGAGACAGACGTTAGCCACTTTGAGGAGAAAGGCAGGATTGACATCTTGGGGATTCCCTTAGAGCAGGGGTAGGCAACCTTGGTTCTTTTATGACTCGTGGACTTCAACTCCCAGAATTCCTGAGCCAGCGTGGCTCAGCTTGGAAACCTCTCTTTCCCCTCAACATGGCTGGCTCAGGAATTCTGGGAGTTGAAGTCCATGAGTCATAAAAGAGCCAAGGTTGCCTACCCCTGCCCTAGAGGAATGTTCAAATGTTCAGGAGACAAGATTGCAGCCAGAGCCATGTGATCAAAGCCCCATTCCATTTTCTGATGCATTTAAAAAGGGGCAAAGCCTCAATGTTGGAGTTGTGGCCACTATCTTGACTTTTTTAAAAAAACAACAATAACAATAACAACTTCCAGTTAACATTCCTGGCTGGTCTAAACTGAATAAAGATAACATTTCTCCCAACAGTCCTGGGCATGGGTTAGGCTAAAAGTGTTGAGAGAGGGACTCATTCAAGTTTGGTTGGTTTATAAAATTTTCTATGCCACCCAGTTCCCAACAACTCTGGGCAGCTCACAACAGCTAAACAATTAACTCTTCATGTTGCCTTCACATCTGATAAAATTTGGCTGGGGTTTGCTTGGTTGAGCACTCTAACCAGAGTTGGCGTGTTCTGTGATAAGAGTTTTATCACTGAAATCTTACTTATCTTCAGTGATTGGATAGAAATAGAGATTTCTCTCTGTTTTCCTGATTCTAATAGGAATGGTGACCTAGCTTACTGTAAGCGCACTATAATATTTTAAACTACCCTTTAAACAAAATGTAACCATATCATTTCCTCCATGTCCCCTGCCCATTCTACTTTTTAATGTTTTAAATATAATTTCACTTTAAACAAAATTTAAAATAAATTTCCTGAAAATACAAAATACTAGCTCCAGAATCATCTGTGCCCAGCTCAGAAATGTCCAGATTTTATGTTTATCAAAGGTGTTTTTAAGAAATATAAATAATAAATGGATACAGCCTTATGGTTTGTGATAAAATATGCCTGCTTGCCCAGCTATAGAATATTCAGGATTAATTGAAAGTATCCTAGTGGAAGAGAAAAGCAAGTAAGGGAAGACCTCACACATTTGCCTTACAGTAAATTAATATGTATTGCAATCACTTACTCCCATTGCATCAACAATTTTATAGATGAGGAAACTTTTGATGGCTGCCATTTCCTTAAATGCCCCAAGTCTCCTCTCAAAATATCAAATGTGTCCACACTAGTGTTAAAATATTGGTACCTGCTTCAAACATTAATACTATTCTTATTCTTGATATGGTTAGAATGAACCAGGTTCTGAGTTACATTGGCATGAACCTGCATTTTAGAACAATGACCTCTGAAGCAATTTCACTATCAGTATGGTATTTTTGTTCCAATATTGAGATGATACAGATTACATGAAAAGTGGCTTCTCCATTTCAGCTTGATGAGAGATGACACTTAGACAGATTTTTCTAAAGTCACTTGTATGGAAAGGCAGTTTTGTTGATTGTCAAGATACTGTAGGATCAAGATGATTATTTCCTCTGGCAGATTTCCAGCATCTGTAATCTGTTTTGTTTTTCCCTCTGTGGCCCAGTTCAGATGTTTAACTATCAATTGTCCATGGAGTGGGCAAATGACGATCTCCTCCTCTGTGTAGTGAAGGCAGTGTGTAGAATGAATGCCCCATATGGAAACTTGTATCCACATTGGGCTAATTTAGGCCTTTGGATCTACAGGATTCCAGGCGACACCCCCACTTCATACTTTAATTGGAAAGCGTGTGGTAGAAAAGTGGTCCACATT